GGGGAGGGGGGGAGGGATGGGCGACCCTCCCCCAACCAACCAACCAATCAATCAATCAATCATTCAATCAATCAATCAATCAATCAATCACTCAATCAATCAATCAATCAAAAAAAATAAATCAATCGATCGATCAATCAATCAATCAATCAATCATTTAATCAATCAATCAATCAATCAATCAATTAATCAATCAAATTTATTTTTTCTATGTTTTTAATTTTTTTTTAACATATCAAAAATCACCCCCCCCCCCCTTAAATTTTTGATTTTTTTTTTTTTTTGCATAGGCCTGCAGCGGCCGACGTGCGCAGGCCACCCGCGTGCGCGGATTTTGAGGGCGCGCGCCCGACTGCGCGTGGCGCAGCCGCCCGCGGACTCGGCCGCGCGGCCTAGGATCCTGGTCGAGGACTCGGATCCTGCGGCCGCGGCCTAGGGTGCCACGTAGCCTGGAACAGGTCGAAAGACAAAACCGCCCCTTTGGAATTGGGAACAACGTGGCCCTTTGAACCGTAAATAGTGTGCAGCTTAAAATGTTGCGTGTTTTCTTTTTTAGCAGGGTGCCATCCGACCACCGCCCCAAGAACTCTACGCCTTTTTTTGTCTTCGAGGAATATAACAGGACCGCACGGAGGTTTGGTCGGTTGGGACTCATCCCCGCAGCACCAATCGACGAACCATTTGGTATGCACATGATAGGACCACGATTTGGAGGTCCGTGATTCCCTCCCCGAGGTACCGGTCGGCTGCTCCTTGCCCCTTGACGTCGACATTGTGTCTTCATTCGTCCAAGAGACCAAAACAACCCAACACACGGAAGACATAAATTACCCACCCCAGTATAGACCTTTGTTTTTCGCAGACCCACACGTCACGCACCACAATAGCACATCAACGGTATCGGCACCCAAATCAACATAGAAAAGAGGCATCTGTATGAAGTTCGGATCTCGGCGAACTAAACCAATTTGCCAACAATTGGCGCGGGCTGATAACGGCATGCGATGAAAAAGAGAGTGAGATGGTTTGTTGACTGCTGGACTCTGCAGTTCACACGCCCTGACCCAACAAGAAGGCACACCAAACTCGTACCAACAACGCACAAACATGACAATGGACTGCACGAACATACGACAAGTTCGCCGACATCAGCACGTCTTCACATCCTGCTCAGGCTTGTGCGAAATCCGGAGACGGGCGAACTAGACGAAATCGGCGGCAGTTCTTCACATCTTGTTCACACACACCGAGTCTGCCAGTATCCAAACTTGTTCACATCCGTCTTTAGCCTTCATGTGAAGTTCGGATGCTGGTGAACTCGATGAATTCGCCGGGCAACATCATAGACGGATAACGACGTGCGACCGTCACTCTCCGCCTCTCTGACCCCCAGCCCCCAGTACAAGGTCCACCAAACTCGGCCCAGTTGCGTTTGAGCATCGCGAACGACTGGCCGAACAACTGATAACCTGCAAGAACTGGAGGGGAATTTGGTTTGTGGAGTGCGAAACTCTGCTCAAAACAGATCCAGATCCAACAAGAAGGCCAACCGAACTCGCCCCAGTTGCGTTTGAGCATCGCAAACGACTGCTCGAACAACTGATAACTTGCGGGAACTGGGGGGGAATTCTGTTTGTGGAGTGCGAAACTCTGCTCGAAACAGATCCAGATCCAACAAGAAGGCCAACCAAACTCGCCCCAGTTTCGTTTGAGCATCGCGAACGACTGCCCGAACAACTGATAACCTGCGGGAACTGAAGGGGAATTATGTTTGTGGAGTGCGAAACTCTACTCAAAACAGATCCACATCCAACAAGAAGGTCAACCAAACTCGCCCCGGTTGTGTTTGAGCATCGGGAATGACTGCGCGAACAACTGATAACCTACAGGAACTGGAGGAGAATCCTGTTTGTGGAGTGCAAAACTCTGCTCGAAACAGATCTTGATCCAACAAGAAGGCCCACGAAACTCGCCCCAGTTGCGTTTGAGCATCGCGAACGACTGCCCGAACAACTGATAACCTGTGGGAACTGGAGAGGAATTATGTTTGTGGAGTGCGAAACTCTGCTCAAAACAGATCCAGATCCAACAAGAAGGTCCACCAAACTCGCCCCAGTTGCGTTTGAGCATCACGAAAGACTGCCCGAACAACTGATCACCAAGGTCCCCTAAGAGTGTTTTTGGCAGTCCACAAAGATAACCGCCGACTGTTTGGCACTTCTTGTAGGTGGTCGGGCGACAAACACGTCCGGACTGAAGCTGTTCGGCACCCCGGCGTCTGCTCTATTGGCGAGACAAAAATTTGTGAAGTCCGGATTCTGGCGGACTTAGATTGTCGGCCTGTGGAACGGGAATCGCAGGGTGGCACTGTTCGAAGTCGAGCCGCCCCGGCAACGGAACCGAAGCCAAAGTCCGTCGTTGTCAGAGTACACCCGCCAAGCAGTACACCTTTGTGGCCCGAACTTTACATGTTCACTACCATTGGCAACGGATGAAGTTCGGATGCCGACAGACTTGTTAGTATTCGTGGTGGCTCGTCAACAATTATCCCTTCTCACCAGTATTTGAAGTTCGGATGCCAGCGAACTTCGTGTTTCCACACAACCACCGCTGCAACTAGGGTCTTCCTGGTCCAGCATGGAGGGGGGGAACAATACAAGTTCACCGACATCCGAACTTCACGTTTTTTGTGCGGGGGTTGACCGAAAAAGTCCGCCCGCAGCCGAACTTCCATGACTGTCCTACTCTGCATCCGAACTTCGATGATTGGCCTGCTATGCTGCTAAACAGTTGCCGACCTCGATATCCGAACTAGAATCATTGCCTAAACATTGCGGAACGTGCGACAAGGGTGCAGGCTAACTCGATGAATTGGATGGTTGTGGACCTGATGTTCTTTTGCATCAGAGCCTCAAGTATTGTCGATCTGGGGCAAGTGTGGTAGTCCGCCGGCATCCGAACTATTAGACTGCACCCTTGCCTCTCCAGTTGCAATGTTTAGAAACGATTCAAGTTCAGATACCGGTGAACGACAACACTCCAACAACGATGGAGGCCAATCATTGAAGTTCGGATGCGGACGGACTTCTCCAGTCGGCCCCCGCAACCGGAACGTGGAGTCAGGATGCAAAGTAGGCCAGTCATTGAAGTTCGGATGCGGGCAGACTTCTTAAGTTAGCCACCGCAGACAAACCGCGAAGTTCGGATTTCGGCGAGCTTCTTTTGTTCTCCCCTCCCGTGCTGGAGCAGGAAGACCATACTTCCAATGGTGGTGAACATGTGAAGTTCGAATGTCGGCGAACTACAACTGTTCAACAACAAAATAGCCCGATCCTTGAAGTTCGGATGCGGACGGACTTCTTCAGCCAGTCCCCGCAGCCGGGACGGGAAGTTTGGATGCAGAGTAGGCCAATCACTTAAGTTCGGATGCGGGCGGACTTCTTGAGCCAGGCCCCACAGACGAAACGTGAAGTTCGCATGCCGACGAACTTCTTTTGTACTGCCCTCCTGTGCTGGACAAGGAAGACCCTTGTTCCAGCGGAGGCTGTGTGGAAACGCGAAGTTCGCCGGCATCCGAACTTCAAATGCTGGTGAGAAAGGATAACTGCCGACGAGCTACCAGGAGGACCGCCCGGTCCGCTGTCGATCAGTCAGTCAATCAATCAGTGCATACAAGGAGGACCGCCACGATCTCTCAATCAGTCAGTCAATCAGTGCATCGGTCGTTGGCCGGCGATCGAACAGTTCATCAATTACGAGATCGACCACGCTCTGTTGCTCGATGAACTACTTGATTGGAAGGGTGGTCGTGTTTTAAACTTTTGATCGATCGCTTGTTTTCGTTGTTGAGGATCACGGGGTGCGACAATAGCGAGGCGTGTTTATCCACACACACTGAAAGATACATGATGGTATGGTCTGCATTTGATATAAGTTGTTCACTTGTTTGGGCGCTCTGTTGCTGCTATCGATTGGCCGACTGACCTCGGTTGTTCACTTGTTTGATATAGGTTGAACGATTTGTTGATAAAAAAAACTGTAGATAATGATGTGCTGATCGACCGACTTTTTCTATGAAATCGATGCGAACACCGGTTGATTGTGACAACCAAGCGATCGAACAAACATCGCACCCTCTGAGTGATCAATCGGTCGATTGACGAACAGATCGTTCCCGATAATAAGCTTGCTCGACGGTTTCATGCCCGTTCGTTTACGCAGATCAAACACGCGCGTGTACGGATCTGCGGAAATGAACGGGCATCAACTCGTCGAGCAAGCTCATTATCGAGAACGATCTCTTCGTCAATCGACTGATTGTTCACTCGGAGGGTGCGATGTTTGGTCGTTCGCTTGCTTGTCCTAATCAATTGTTCATCTTTATGGACCGTATCGACTAATCGGACATTCACTTGCATAATACTCATGTGCTCACGCCCGCTTTCGCACGCAAGCACGCACCCATACAAACATACGCACACACACTTTCCATGGAAGGGTGGCTTGTCCAATCAACCAGTTGCATGGAATGGTTGATTGGATCATGGGTTGCTGGAATGGTTGATTTCATCATTGATTCTCTGGTGTCGATGGGGCTCATTGTAGGAATCGCCCGGGTTCAACACTTTCTCCACACACACGCATTGACACATCTCCATATGCTCATACGACTGCATACATGAAAACACACAATACAGGAAACAAAAAAAAACACATACAAGTAACGGAAGTCGCTGCACACAGACACCCGTCCGAACGCAGGCGAGCACAACAAGGCACGAGCAAATGCAGAAGCACGCTCGAACGTGCACAATCACACACACATGGCATCACTCTCACACAACCGCGGGTGTTTACACGCGCAAACAAAACGAGTCAGGGAAAGGAACGTCACGTCCCATCAATCACCCTTTCAACAGGTACTCACCTCGATGAAGATGTCGTCTAGAGAATGGATCAAGCGCACCTAAACTAAAGCCGCAGAAATCTTAATGAAAGCGGCGCAACTTGCGTGCCAAGAATGCCTGACCCTGTTGAGCGGCTAACAGTTGGGGTTGTACAAGAGGGAAGAATAGTCAAGGTAGAAGGGACTCTTGAGTCTTTGACAGAAATCTCTCTACTTTGGTTGAGTTTGAATTCTTGCAATCATTCTTTGACCGAATGAGAGATTCTGCCATCTGAATTGTCACTGATCAGACTGAGATAACCTATATATTAAAGGTGGTGAAAGTGGGAACTACTGAGAGGGTATCATACCACACTTCTCGGGAACGAGTCTCTCTTGCAAGAAGGATCAACAGCGGGCCATAAGCAATTCAATTTGATTATGAGATTATAGACTTGACTCGATATTTTATGATTCGAGGTACTGTAAAAGAGTATAATAGAAGGCTGAGTAAGGATGATGAGAGAGAGTTGATTGAAGATTACATTGGAAGGCTAAGAAGAATTGCGTTGCCCTTGATTACTATCCAATCTATTATTGCTTATACTCTATATGTACAAAATTCTCAAGGGGTGGAACAGACAAGAGAGGAGAGAAACGAGTCTGTATCCCTTGCGAGAAGAGTGAGAGATTGAAGGGCAAGGAAGAAGAGGACAAGAGTGACTGGAAGAGAGAAGAAAATATCCGGGAAAATATATGGTCAAAATGGCAGGACGGGGAAGACCGAATTCATCTGCAGGGACCAATGAAGAGGCATTGGTCGAGGTTATACGGGAATTGGTTGAGAGAGTCGACACAATCAAAGGAGGGTCAGACATTGCTAGAGCAAAGAGGCCAGATGATAGGATTCTATGTTTTAGAGGGCCTCAAGTGAATGATTTTCTGGACCAGTATGAATTATTTGGCCTCAGCTATGGCTAGACAGATAAGCAACGACTTAAGCACCTACTATCGTACTGTGATACTGACTCAAGATTGACTATTCAGGAACTGATGGAAGGTGTCACTACATGGAAAGAGGTCAAAGAGATAATAAAAAATTAATTTGAGAAAGACTCAGTTCCGACTACAACCAAGGATTTACTCAACATCAGAAGAACTAAGTATAACACTTTTAATGTTTTTTTTCAGACCTTCATTCGAACATTTAGAAGAATTCCTTATTTGGACGAAGCCCAGAGATGCCATATATTTTTGATAAATTTCACTGATACCGAAAGGCAAACAGTTCTCAATCAAGCCCAACACTATCCTCTGAGATGGGATGAAATGATTGCAATTATTAGAACTCTACCTACAGTTTCTCATAAGAAATGGTCACTAGATCAGATCAGTACATTGACCAAAGACTGGGAGATTGAGAATGGTATGAATAGAGGGAACAATCTGAGTGCTGAGAATATTCTTCAGAAAGCGATGACTAACTTTATGCCTGTGAGGCCTGCACCCCATGCTGTGGATGACAAAGGGAAGAAGAAGGCTGAAAGTGAAGAGGATGATGATGATGATGACGATGAAAGCTATGGTAAGAAGGGAGACTCTTCCCGATCCAGAAAGAATGAAAATAATGGCGATAAGGAAAACAGAGAGAGGAGGAAGTATGATGATCGTCCTAAGAAGAGTTTTGTCTGCTACTATTGTGGTGAAGGGGGTCACACTACCACCTATTGCAGGCCTTTTGAGGAAGATGTAAGGAGTGGGGTAGCAAAGAAGGATGGAATGAGCCACGTCTGTGATAGTTCATGGAACAAGTTGGACCCCAGGCATCCAGGAGGTATGAGATTCCTTGCTCTTAAACATGATGAAAAGATGAAGACGAAGAAGAAGAGAAAGGCTAATGTGAATGTTCATTTTCTTATTGAAGAGTTGCCTAATGAACTAGTACAAGAAACAAGTGACCCTTATACCACGATTGAGTTGTCTTTGCAATACTTGACATTGACAGAGTGTGTGCCTAGCGAGACTTCTACAAGTGAGTTTCCGTTGGGAGGAAATTCTACTTCTCAGAATCCTTATGAATTAGTAGAGTCCTCTTCCAATGAAATAGTTCGCTTTCTGGCTAACATGATGTCGTTTCATGGTGATTTACCCCCATAACTCGTCATGGAACCTAGTGTCAGGCTTGGTGAAGCGAGAAACCTCCAAGCTCGCATGACGCCTCAAATAATAGAGAAAAAGAAAAGGAGGAAGGCTGAGGAGTTACTGATTAATATCCTTGATGACCCGGAACCGGAACTTTCACATAGAAAGAATGAACAGGGGATAAAAATGAAATATATTCTCAAGAGTGACTTGGATGATGAGACAATGATGTCTGATGTAATTACTAAAATGTTGGAAGAGACAGAAGTGACATTGTCCTTCAGAAAACAATGACTCTAGCACCCAAACTGAGAGAAGAGTTGAAAAAGTTGATTGAGAAGAAAAAATTGGAAGCTAATTACTTGGGATCAGTCTTTTCCAACCAAGTGAACAGGTCACTGCCATGTTGCAAGATGAGATTCGCAACCATGAGATGTAGACACCTTACAACTCGTATCAACCAAGTGAAGATTCTAGCCCTAGTGAACTCTGGGGCAGAGATGATACTCCTTTCTCGAAGAACGGTGGATGTTTGTAATTTATCTATTGATAGACATGCACAAAATGTATTGAGCAATATTGCAGGAGAGTTGTTCGTGGCAGGATTTATTGATAATATGCCTATTAGAGTTGGAACAATGACTGTGGAAGTACTGGGTTTTGTAGTGTCAGATCTGGACCATGACTGTATCTTGGGAACCCCATTCTTACATAGGATGGAGGCGGTCCAATTTTTCAGCCATGAGGGGTCATCTTGGATCGGCCTACAAGATCCTGAGACTGCTCAGGAACAAACCTTTATGGTCTGCAAAAAAAGTGATTTCAAACATAAATTATCTGCTAATTCAATCAGAAGAGAAGAGTCTATTGAAAGGGTTGGGAGACCAAGGAAAAAAGGAAAACAAGAAGCGAAATAAGAGATTTCAGTGGGTATCAATCAAGTTTCGAAAATGATAAAAGCCGTTGGTAAACTGGAGGATGAGGATGGACAAATTGAAGCATTAAAAAAAGCTGCTAAAGGTGGAAAGATGAAACTAAAATTTGCATCGACTCACCCTTTTTTAGGAAAATAGCCACTTGGTCAAAAAGAAAATATAAGCCCAAGGGGGTGAAGAAAAATTAGGTGGCAGTCTTAATGGAAAATGATTATGATGCAGCAATGGAAAAGGGGAGAGAGATTATTAAAGCATTGCGAGAGTCTGCAAAATTGGGGAATAGGGTCACCAAAGAGAGGTTTGACACGATAACGATAGGCTCGGATCAGTTTATCATGCCTAAAGAGAAAGAATATATCTTCAAGATGTGTTAGAAATTCTCTGGTGCTTTCGATTTTAATGATGAAGAAAGAGAGCGGTTGGACGTGGTTATGATCATGATGGCCAAGATTTGGACAGTTGATCATATTTCATGGAATGATAGGCCGACTAAGTATGCCGTGAAGGAAGAAGCAGAAGTTGTAAAGTACCTTGACAAGAAAATTGCATTTAATGTTGCTGAGCCTGTTGATGGATCGTATGCTAACCATTGGTTTTGCTTTTGGAAACCAGGGGGGATTAAGATGGATTCAGAATCTTTGAAGCTCAACTCTGTGACGGTACGTGACGCGGGTAGTCTTCCTAATGTTGATCTCCTCTCTGAATCTTTTGCTAGTCGATGCATTTATTCTCTAGTTGATTTCTATTTTGGCTATGATCAGTTTCCCATTGATCCCACTAGCCGACCAATGACTGTCATGCACAAGCTAAGAGGGCTCATTCAGATGTGTGTGGTGCCTCAGGGTTTGACTAATGGTGTAGCAGTGGTTCAAAGGGATATGATCCAAGTCATGCAAGATATTTCTCCTGAAATAACCAGCCCCTATATTGATAACAATCCTGTAAAAGGACCCCTGGTAAAGGATGAGACCTTGGTCGCAGGTGGAGTCAGGAAGTTTGTTTGGGAACATGCTGAAGGAGTGAAAATGGTCCTAGAGAGACTTCAAAAATATAAACTGATTGTCAGTAGATCAAAGTCTCTTCTCTTCTAACCAGAAGTAATTATCTTTAGCTTTAGATGTTTCTCTAAGGGTAGGAGTCCTGACCCCAAGAAGATAGACAAAATCTTAAACTGACCTCTGTCTCTCAAGAGAGTGACAAATGTCAAGAGCTTCTTGGGTGTCTGTGCATTCTGGAGGATTTTTATTCCTCATTTTGCTACTCTTGCAGAGCCTCTGAGGGAGATGGTAAGGCAAGGGG